GAGAATTCCCTGATTTCCCCTAACAGGACATGTGGCGGGGTGTGGCTCACCTGTTTGGTCACCCTGCAGCTCAAACCCCTGAGGGGAGCATGCAGACTGGAGGGGGTGGGTGCCTGCAACCCCAGTGTTCCAAAGCTCTTTCAGCTTTGCCATCTGCAGATTCTTTGATGGTAAATCAGCTCAATGGACGCCCTGCCTTATCGAAAGGGCAGAGGGGCAGACTGACTGCCTTCTGTATTCCAAGCACTTGTCGCACGTCCCAGAAAAATCGGATCACATGCGGGCTTGAAAGGATGAGTGCAAGGTTTTATTGAATGGTGGAAGTGGTGGTCAGTGAGATGGATGGGGAGCTGCAAGTGGAGGGGTGGGGGAGTTCTCGGCTGAACTCCTCTGGATGTTCAGATACCTCTTCCTTCCTTCTCTTCTGCGCCACCCTGCTGCTCTCTGCCACTCTCTGGTGCTCTGTTCCTCTGCTCCTCTTGACATTCAGCCACTTGTGTTGTGTGCTCCCTAAAGTCTCGGGTTTACATGGGCACAGGATGGGGGTTGTGGCAGGCCAGAGTCATCTTCAAGAAATGCAACATTCAAGGGTAAAAACAGGAGTGCCTGATCTCACTTCGGTCCAGGGGTACAGGCCCAAGGGTGAAGGTGGAGCCCTGGCCAGGGACCCTGCCTTCCCTACCCAGCACTTTCTTGCCCCATTCTCATATCATATGTGTATGTGTGTGTGTGTATATATATATGTACACACATATGTTTACATAAAAATCTCAGTAGTAGCAAATCATAGAACAGTATTGTATCCCAAGAGAGTTTCTTCAAACTTACTCTTAGATCTTCCCTCAAATATATGAAAGTGTAAGAAACTGTCAGAAGAGCAAGATACCAACGGTATTAAATGTTCTTCCATGGATACTTTGTGAGAAGAATTACATTTAAGGAGAGCCATTATTGTATACAAAATAAGTGATCTTCCAGAAATATATGGTATTAGAAAATTAATTGTTCTTTATGCTGCTTAACTTAAAATTTTTCTTCTCCACCAACTCTTCTGCTGTATAAGTAAGCCTCTAATTAATTATTATTTCAGTGATACGTACTGGAAACTAGATTGTCTTCCGAGGAAAATGTCTATAGAATTTATCTTCATTAATAATAAACTAAGCTTTCAGCAATCCAAGAAAAAAATGTGTGATTGTGAAATTTTGTGCTCCAATACAATATCCCAGATCATCTTTTGGTATTTCAGTATGTTACTCCATGACATCAGTTTATCCTAATTTCATCTTCATATTCTCATTTTACTAATAGCAATATATATATATAAATCAAGAACATTAGAGAACAAAGATGTGTCATAAATGATAATTATGATTGAATGTTTCAGCTTTTAAACATTAGAGTTTGTCAGATGGTGGGGGCAGAAGACAAGGTGTTCAATACATGGCTTTCAAATATAATACATTTCATTATATGTACAAAAAGCAAAGGGAATTACACAAAAATGACCTAAAACAAGTGTTTGGGATAGAGGCTGTGTGTGTGTATGTGTTTGTATATTAAGCTCAGTATTATGATCAAAACTATAATGAGCAAGAAGTCTTCTAAGACATGTAAATCTCATTGGCAGAAATGTTTCCACCCTTAATATATTCACTTAACCCCACATAAGAATGATACCAGCTATCTCAAAAGCACATGACAAAAGAGTATTATTCTCTATCAAGAGAATAATCTTGTAAAACTCATGATATTCAACTGGCAAAAAAATTAAGATGCTTATTTCTTATAGAAAAACTCAATGAGATATTTAATAAGTGAACAGATTCTAAAAATATCTAAATTCTGCTTAGGCAAGCATTCATTTGTTTACCTTTTTGTGTTTTAAAACTAAAATATCAACAGAATTAAATTTTGGAAATCCAAGGGGACCTGCATATTTTAAAGCAAATATTAAGAACAGAAAAAAGAGACATATGTATGTTACAAAAATTTATTTTTAAAGGCATTTTTCTTTAATGATAATTCTAAAACAGAAATTGAATTAAATCATCTTACATTTAAAAACTTTATTCAAAATTTTATGTAGGCATATTTTAGAAACACTTGCATAAAATACACCCAGTTACCTTCTCAGAGATGGTATTCTAAAAGTACTTTTCTACTTTCATGCAAATATTGAAACAGATGTCAAATAATGTCAAAGACAATGAACCGTCTAGAAAGCTCAAGAACAGTCAGAGTTAGAATATAAATACTTTTTCTGATGTTGGATAAGTTGTTTCCTCATGTTAGTTTGTTGAAGTTTCCTGAAGTCTTTAAGCTCGAAAAGAGTTTTTAAAAAATTTATTCAGTAGAAGGACTTCATTTTTAAGGAACAAGTCCAGGGAGATCTTTGTCAGGGCAGAGACAGATACATAGCAAGAGTTGATTTTCTATGTTTTAATGGAGTAAATATTCTGTAAAATACAATGGCTAAGAAGTTATTCATGAAATAAAACTGCATTCGTTGTTTTAGTAGAACTAGAAACACACACCATCATCATCTTTCATTACACTGTATATGGTTTACACAAATTTTTTGTTGATATAGTTTTCTCTTTTCCTAGAATATATAACATGTTTACAATAGTTCCTTCAAAATTCAGACGTGTGAACAGCATGGGATACCCAAAAAAAGTGCACTGGTGTGTGGGAAAATTTTGGAATGGCTTATGCTTGCCATTTATCTAATTATAACCTTTATTTGTGTTCATTTCATAATGTATATAGAATGTAAATATGCCTGTGTAAAATTTAGGGATAAATCTGTATGCTTTTATTGGTAGCACTTTCTGAAAAATGCATGGGATGCTGGTTCAACAAAGTTTGTAGAGCGTGTATTCACAGAACTAGAAAATTTGACACAGTTTTCACGAAATATAACTGTACAACTGCTTCTATCCATCTGGGTCTTCTCTGACTTAGTAGTGGATGATCTGACAACTCTCAGAAATATGTTTACATCTTATTGCTATTTCTTGTTTCTTAGGGATAATCATTTCGGGGATGGATTCCTTGTAGGAATAGAGGTACAATTACTGAAATGCTCTATTGCCACTCAAAGTTAAGTCATGAAAAATAGTAAACAGCTAGTCCTCAATTTTATTCATTACCTATCTCATTCTCCATGTTTTTTTAAATTCAAGACAATGTATATTCCCACATAGTTTATCCTTTGGAGATAAATGTAACTTGAATTAAAACTTTGAAGGCAAGGCTTCTGGTTACCTTTGGAACGTAGTAAGAGTTACGTGTTGACTGAAAAAAGGCTAATTCTACCAAACTCTAGTATTCTCTGGGCTTTACGTGGGGTGATTAGCATAAAGGGAGGTAAGTAAAATTTATAAAAATTAACAAATTCCAATTCTGCTATAGCAGAATAAGCCTACTCTAGCCTATATATTTGCTGTTTATAATGATAAATCCTGGACAAATTACAAAAAGCAAATATCACAGACTGAAACGAAGTCACTGCGGTTTGATTGTTGGAAAAAAAACCCACCTTCTTCAGATATTTACGCAGACAGAAAGATAATGACTCCTATTTCTTGTGAGACATTAGTAAGTGCGACAACATAGTTTTTGAAATTTAAAATCCAGATAGCCTAATTTCAGAGCCCAGATGTAAACAGCTGTTAGAACTTCCTTTCTAGTCCTGCGGCTCAAACAAAAAAAAAGGGAAATGCAATTTATTTCTGTATTGAAAAGTACAGAAAAAGAAAGCAAGCTAAAACACCGTGGATGGGGAAGATTGCTTGTTTTGGTTTTCGGTTGTTGTTGTTTGGTCGCTTTTGTCTCCTGATTATGCCCCGAGGGAATGCTCTGGTCATAAAGCTGTGCATTGAAGAAATAGTGCAGACGGCAAACACTTTAATTAAAAAAAAAAAAAAAGCTGTCTTTTTTGGAAGAGGTATCCCCAATGACCGGAAGAGGCACTCTGCCTAGCGGAGCTGTGGGAATGAGGACATTACCCTCTAGACCCAAGAATCTGACAGAAACACTGGCAGTTTGCAATCCGAGCCTGGAAAGGACACAGTTTTTTTTTTGTTGTTGTTTTGTTTTGTTTTGTTTTGTTTTAATTAGTACCCATTCCTGGGTATTTTTCTTTTCTTTTCTTTTTTTAATTTTTATATTTGAAGTTCTGGGGTTCATGTGCAGAACGTACAGGTTTGTTATATAGGTATACACGTGCTATGGTGTATTCATCCCCCCATCATCTACATTAGAATCTACATGCTGCATCTGTCCCCCCATCATCTACATGAGGTGGTTCTCCTAATGCTATCCCTCCCCTAGCCCCCAACTCCTGCTACCCCTCCCAGCTTTACCTTTATTCAGACTTTTCACTGCTCAAACCAAGCAGAGTTCACCTGTATCCAAGAAAATGTTCATGAATTTACTGTACTTTCCCTCTCATGCTCAGCCCCCTGCAAGGAATAACTACTTCAAAATTGGCCAATAAACTGCAAAAAGAGAAGCATAAGAGTTGAATGCTTCACAAAAACTGCAACAATAAAGTGCGGGAGGCGAGTGATGGTATAGGCATTTTTATAGAGACTCTTTTCTGTGATTCACACAAATAAGGGAGATTACAGAGTGAGGTACAAAGAGGGGTGACTTAGTATTTGTAGGAACCCTGGGATTAAGAAACTTGGCTAGAAAGCCAAAAACATTTGTCTCTGAAATCTAGCTTGATGTTTAATGTCCGATGTATTAGTCTGATTGTCTAAAGAGTTCAAATCCAGGGGGAAGGACAATAAAAGATCTTTGCTCCGGTGTTAATCATGATGGCACCTTAGTCACCTGGAAACATTGGAATATCTGACAGAATTTAGTCCCCAAAACTAAGACTAGTTCTCATAAAACCACTAGAAAGAAAGATGCCTCTATAAAAGGTGAGCATAAACAGGTTTATCACGGTAGGTAAGGGGCTGACTACTTGGGTTTTTGAGAGATCATCAATCATGATTCTCCTCTTGCTGCTTCTCTAGCTCCAGCTCAGCAGCCCTTTGTACCGCTACTTCGACCAGAATCTGGAAGCTGGTTAAGTCGGGATACTCCTCTGGAGACACAGGTTCTGGAGAAGATGGGGTTGCGTTGGTAGAAACCTGGAGCTTTTTCTTTGGCTGGGCTATCACGGCGAGCTCCCGGCTAGGGGCCAACCCCGGATCTGGTAGGTTCTCTCCTGACATCTGGCCCATTGGCACGGGCCACAGGGATTGTACCTTGTCTGGATGTCTGGGCCGTAACTTGGCAGACACGAAGTCATCGGTGTCCTGCAGGTTGGTGTCATTGTCATCTTTGCGCATTTCCTGATCATTTCCAGACTTTCGAAGCATCCCCGGGAGAATGCGTCTGCGAGCATTGACGAACCAGTTAGAGATCTGGGAGAAAGACAAATTGGTCTTCTCAGCCAGCATTAGCTTCTCCGCTTCTGAAGGGTAAGCCCTAAACCGATGCTTATACATCCACTTGCGGAGAATCTTAACAGACTCGACTGGCAACTTCGCCTTCTTCCGGCACCCTGATAAGGCAAGAGGTTTGTCTATATCTGCGTTATTTCTCGACATCATTGAAGTGTCTTGGGCGGGGCTTAGGTTGACCGCCGGTGATTCGTTTTCCATCGGGCTTTGGATCTCCGCCGCGTCTTCTGCAGTAGCCTCCATATTCAAAAGGCTTATCTTTACTATATTGGGAATCACAAACAACTGAGTTAGGACAAAGGTAACTCAAAGGGATAGTCGCTTTAGAAAGCAAGGGCAGGTCTCCAAGGGGAATTCTCACCTCTTACTTCCCACGCAGAAAAAAACAGCGTTGCTAACCGCTTTGCTAATAGAGGAGCCCGGTAACTCAGTGACGTCACATCCTTTCTTTTCCACGCTGACCCTCCCCCACACTTCCTGGGCTTTCTCGTTCCCCAGTGTTCTTCTGCCTTTTCTGTAATTTCCAATGTCCTTGTTTGCACGCAGTTTACTGCTCTCCAGAGTATTCTCTGCTGTTGTCACCAGTGTCCAGTAACCGACGAACTCTATTTCCATTAGTGTTAATACGCCTATCACTTTTCTTCCTATTTGATTTTACTCTGGTATTGCTCTTCGCTCCTGTTACTTATAATTGTCTCATTGACTCATCCAGATATATCAGGAATAAATTGTTGATTAGCCATTAACCTCAATAAAAGAGTGTAACTATTGTACTTAGACTTCTCCCTTCCATGTTCAAAGCAGATATTAATAATAATTTTGAAAATTAGCTGGGCATGGTGGTGCGTGCCTGTAATCCCAGCTACTCAGGAGGCTGAGGCAGGAGAATTGCCTGAACCCAGGAGGCGGAGGTTGCGGTGAGCCGAGATCGTGCCATTGCACTCCAGCCTGGGTAACAAGAGCGAAACTCCGTCTCAAAAAAAAAAAAATAATAATAATAATAATTTTGAGCTAGACTTTTGCTTTTCATGCCTTGCAGCTTAAGATTTCTTCTCTGTGGCCTTAAAATCTTTGTCATTTGATGATTTTGCTATTGTCTGTCAGTACCACTGAGGTCTTTGTCTCTCTTCCTTGTACTCTGCTGTCTAGTTGTGGCGATTTTCTTTAAACTTCAGTCAGAACTTCGTCGGTCTTTTAGCAATGTGGAATAAGTAGAACAAGACACGATTCAATAAATATTGGTGATCACAGACAGTTTACTTTTTATTTTTTGAGACGGAGTCTTGCTCTGTGACCCAGGCTGGAATGCAGTAGTGGCACGATCTCAGCTCACTGCAACCTCCACCTCCCAGGTTCAAGTGATTTTACTGTCGTAAAGTATCTGAATAATTCCTGCCAGGTATATTACACTTTGAAACAAATTGAAGAAACAATCAGGAAACCCACATTAAACATCCCTATTGACAGAAGTGGTGGCATGTTGAGTAAGATGTGTATAAAGTTCTAGCAGATTCAAGCAATATACCCTAATTTGGAGGGACGAAAGTTGGAAGTATGGCCTGACTCTAAGAGATACCGCAGAGGCTAGGAGCGGTGGCTCAGACCTGTAATCCCAGCACTTTGGGAGGCCAAGGCAGGCTGATGCCTGAGGTCAGGAGTTCAAGACCAGTCTGGCCAACATCGTCAATCCCAATCTCCACTAAAAATGCAAAAAAAAAAAAAAAAAAAAAATTAGCCGAGTGTGTGGCGGGAGCCTGCAATCCAAGCCACTCGGGAGGCTGAGGCAGGGGAATTGCTTGAACCAAGGAGGTGGAGGTTGCAGTGACCCGGGATCGTGCCACTGCACTCCAACCTGGGCAACAGACTGATTCTCCATCTCAAAAACAAAAAAGAGATACTGCACAATTAGCCCCCAATAAGACTTGTGGATCTTACAGCTTAGTTTTCATTTTCCTCAACTTAAGGAGCAAATGATTCTCTTTGTATTTTAAATTTTCCATAACAAACATGTAAAGAAAATGCTTTCCAGTTCTTTATAAATCGGGCATAACTCAGATGTGACAATCTCACAAAGCATGACAGAAATATCTGTGGCAGACTCACTTATAAAATGATAAATTATTATTGAATAGACTATACATTCATGTAAAATGTAAAACATGAACAAATGGAAACATCGTCTAAAATGCAGCATGATCTAATATTAGAATCTATATTTTGAGAATTAATCACATTAGTGATAAAAGAAAAAATATAATCTCGATGGAGTTTGAGTAACTATTTTACTGAATTTAAAATAAATATCTGGACTGGTCTCAGTGGCTCACACCTGTAATTCCAACATTTTGGGAGGCTGAGACAGGTGGATCACCTGAGGTCAGGAGTTTGAGACTAGCATGTCCAACATGGCTAAACACTGTCTCTACTAAAGACTACAAAAGTTAGTGAGGTGTAATCCCTACTTGGGAGGCTGAGGCAGGTAGAAAGGGAGATTTTCTTGAACCTGGGAGGTGGAGGTTGCAAGGAGCTGAGATGGTGCCACTGCACTCTAGCCTGAGAGAGAGCGAGACGCCATGTCAAAAATAAATAAATAAGTAAATAAATTTCTGATAAACATATTTTAATGAAATAAGAATTAAAAGATCCTTCCGTTGTATTAACATAGATTAATAAAACTTTGAAATTTCCAATATACAGCCTTATACTTAATAGTAAAACAAAAATGATTCTTACAATTTCATAAGTAAGGCAAAGATGTTTATTTTCACTACTATAACATTGCTTAGAAATTTGAGCCAACAGAATTAATCAAACAAAAATAACTGTAATACATGTAACAAAAAGAGGCAAAATATTATCTGTTTATAGCATGACTCGCCACTTTGGAAATATTTAAAAATCAATTGAGAAACTATTATAAATTGTAAGTATTATGTAAGACAGTTACAAATGAAAGATTAACATTAACATATATCAATATTCATAATTTAGAAAATAGGAAAATTGTCTAGTTTCTAATCATAACAAGACGAAAGATACAAAAAGATATAGGCCTAAAATTAGAAATTATTATCTATGACTTATGTAAATAAAAATAGAAAATTTTATTTAATAACATAAAATGGATGTTAATAAAATTTAAAATGCATTTTATTTTACCCTAGGAAATTTCACTATTTTAATAAATTTAATTGTCTTTAAATTTACTTTTATGACATATTCCTATCAAAATCACCAGTGATTTTCTCTATGTTTTTGTGGCTTGATGGCTCATTTTTTTAAGCACCGAATAATATTTCATTATATGGCTATATCACAGTTTATGTATCCACCTACTGAAGGTCTTAATTTTAATAAAATTCAGCCTATAAATTCTTTTTTTCGTTGATTGTATGTATTCTGTTGAACCTAAAATGACATCACCCAAACCGAGGCCATCTAAATTTTCTCCTACATTATTTTCTAAGTGTTTTATAATTTTGCATTTTACATTTAGTTCTATGATCCATGTTAGGTTAATTTTGGAAAAGGTGTACGTACTGTATATTTTCTTTAAACTAATTTATATTTTTATAATATGTATTTCTTGTGGAATTCCTTGTATTGGTCTTGCTATTTTGTACAATCTGAAAATTGCTTCTATTTAATTGGAGCTATTAATCTTATATTTAATATAATAATAATAGTTATATTCGGTCTACCACTTTAAAATTTATCTTTTACCAACATATATTTGTTTCTCTGTTTTCCTTTATTGTCTTCTTTTTTTTTTAAATTCCATTTTAGCTTTTGGGGTACATGTGAAGAACATGCAGGATTGTTGCATAGGTACAAACATGGCAGTGTGGTTTGCTGCCTTCCTCCCCATCACCTATATCTGGCATTTCTCCCAATGCTATCTCTCCCCAAATCCCCACCCACTGCTGTCCCTCCCATGTGGGGAACCCAACAGTGTGAATACTTGCAAAAGCGAGTTTCACAAGACGGGTGGTTTTGAGCCCAGACACAGGGACGCCTGATAGAGGGAAGTTGAGATAAAGTTGAGTCAGGAACAGAAAAAAGGAGAATCCTGTTAAAAGATAACCAGATGGCCTGCAGTCATGAGGAACAATGTCTGGACATAGATCAGTTTTATGATCACAAGGAATGTCCACTACCTTTTACAAACACTGATTGTGCATCTGTCTTCTCTATTGTTTAGGGCATGTGATGTATAGATCTGTTCTTCCCCTTGCAATGATGTAAACCAGAAGCCTGGAAAATGTATATAATCCCCTATCTTGTGAAAATTAAAGTCGCTGTTGGAGCAGTGTCTCCTCAGTCCTTCTGACCCTGCCTGTTCTGTCTCCTTTTCTTCCTGCGCACCCCCCACTCAGGTTAGAATCTTCTTGCTGGTCAAGAGCTCCTGCCAGACTCCCACATTTCCCCCCAACAGACCCCAGTGTGTAGTGCTCCCCTCCCTGTGTCCATGTGTTCTCATTGTTCAACACCCACCTATGAGTGATAACATTTGGTGTTTGATTTTCTGCTCTTGTGTCAGTTTGCTGAGAATGATGGTTTCCAGGTTCATCCATGTCCCTACAAAGGACAGGAACTCATCGTTTTTGATGGCTGTATAGTATTCCATGGTATATATTTGCCACATTTCCCTGTCCAGTCTATCATCAATGGGCATTTGGGTTGGTTCCAAGTCTTTGCTATTGTAAACTGTGCTGCAATGAACATTCATGTGCATGTGTCCCTATAGTAGGATGATTTATAATACTTTGGGTATATATCCAGTAATGGGATTGCTGGGTCAAATGGAATTTCTATTTCTAGGTCCATGAGGAATCCACACACTGCCTTCCACAATGGTTGAACTAATTTACACCCCACCAACAGTGTAAAAGTGTTCCTATTTCTCCACATCCGCTCCAGCATCTGTTCTTTCCAGATTTTTTTAATGATCACCATTCTAACTGCTGTGAGATGGTATCTCAATGTAGTTCTGATTTGCATTTCTCTGATGATCAGTGACGATGAACATTTTTTCATATGTTTTTTGGCCTCATGTATGTCTTATTTTGCAAAGTATCTGTTCATATCCTTTGCCCACTTTTGAATGGGCTTGTTTGTTTTTTTCTTATAAATCTGTTTTAGTTCTTTGAAAATTCTGGATATCAGCCCTTTGTCAGATGGGTAAACTGAAAAAAATTTTTCCCATTCTTTTGGTTGCCGATTCACTCTAATGACTGTTTCTT